CCATGAATATGGCTCGAATTTTCAGCGAATTTCAGTTTCCAAGTAGGGGTGATCCTACTTCTGGAAACTTGGATTTTGCAATCTCAGCAGCGTGGGCTGCTGTTGGTTTTGACTCCCCCAAGCAAGCTGGGTGTCGGCAGTGCGCTCACAGATATGGGCCTCTGCTGTCTCAAGCCGTTTGGGTTTCAAGCAGGAAATATTCTGCTTGGCTTCAGTGACGTAGGTTTGGGGTCCAAGTGAGGGTCCTACTCGTTGGCACCCGTTTTTTTTTTCTTCTTTTTTTTACGTTCTCAGTAGAGCTGGAGGCTGTTGGTTTTGACTGCCCCAGCAAGCCAGGTTTCCAAGTAGAGGTAACGCTACTTGAGGTTCACAGGTTGCCCATGTGCATTGCCAGGCAGTGCCCACAGGGCTGTGGGCTTAAGCTGGTTGGGTTTCAAGGAGGAGATGATCCTGCTTGGTGTGGCCTTATTGCCTTAGTGATTCAGGTTTGGAGTCCAAGTGGGGGTCATCCTACTTGCTGGCACCCGTGTTTGCGTTTTCAGCAGAACTGGAGGCTGTTAGTTTTGCCTGCCCCAGCAAGCCAGGTTCCAAGTAGAGGTAACGCTACTTGAGGTTCACAGGTTGCCCATGATCATTGCCAGGCAGTGGCCACAAGGCTGTAGGCCTCTGCTGTCGTAAGCAGGTTGGGTTTCAAGCCGGAGGCAATCCTACTTGATGTGGCCTTACTTGCTTTTGTGACATAGGTTTGGGGCCCACGTGGGGGCGATCCTACGTGGTGGTGCCTTCCACTTGCCATGAATCTGGCTCGAACTTTTAAGCGAATTTCAGCCTCCAAGTACGGGTGCTCTTACTTCGGGAAACTTGAGGAGCAGGGCATCTATGGGCGAGTTGGCTATGGTGACCTTATGGCAGTGAAGGCTTGCCAGGACGAGAGTGTCACCAGCTTGACTTCAGAGATTGAAGCATGCTTCGAGGTGATCGAAGCAGTGATGCGTTTCGAGCCAAAACGTGAATTTACAGTTTTGTTGCTACCAATTGCGAAGAACTACAATTCCTGTGGCAGCCTGCAGAGACCCACATTGCGCAGTTGGAGCTCTCCATGGTAATTTACACCTTGAGTGAGAGCCCTGGCCTTCTCCGCCATCGACACGGTCTATGGTTCCTCGACGCTGTGGCTGCAGTCATGACCTTAGTGAGGGGACGTTCTAGCAATTCGGACCTAGCAAAGCTAGGCCATCTGATTCCTTTGGCCCTCTTCGCACTGCGTGCCCAGGGCTACTGGGAGTACGTCCAGAGCAAGAGCAACTGGGCCGACGACTTGGTGGCGCTGCCATGGATCTAGCTTTCATTCGTCGTACCTCCCCACAATCTTTTTCCAGTTGCCATTCGTTGCAGTCATTCTCACCTTTGAATTCCTCTAGTGCTTTGGGTGTTTGAGTGCGTTGGGTGATACCTGCAAAGGCAGGTCCCAACCTGGGGTGACCAGGTTGCTGACCAGAGGTGATTCGGTCTGGGGCTATGTGCGAGTCACATTGTGACACATCCAAAGCAAACCTGAGGAGAGCAGGTGAAACAGACTGAACTTTGGTAGGTGGTTGAAAAAGAGCTGTGCGCGGAAGACGTGGTGAGTTCTTCATATGTCACTTTGAGATGTATTCATGCATTGAGTTTGGCAGGCTTGGGTGTGCATGTGTCATCTTTAAGTGAGTCAATGAATGCTTTCATTTTGGCTCAAGTGGAGCTGAGCCAAAATAGCATTCATTGCTGTTTCTTTCCCCACCCTCCCAACCCTAAGAGCCGACCTCCCGTGGAGATGTCCGCCTAGGTTAGGGGAGCCTGCATGGCAGGCGAGTACATAGCCTCTTTCGGGGATACTCTTTCGGGGCGACCAAAAGAAACTTCCCTCCCTTAGGTTAAGGGACGGGTGATACCTGCAAAGGCAGGTCCCAACCTGGGGTGACCAGGTTGCTGACCAGAGGTGATTCGGTCTGGGGCTATGTGCGAGTCACATTGTGACACATCCAAAGCAAACCTGAGGAGAGCAGGTGAAACAGACTGAACTTTGGTAGGTGGTTGAAAAAGAGCTGTGCGCGGAAGACGTGGTGAGTTCTTCATATGTCACTTTGAGATGTATATATATACATAAATCATCAATTTTCGAGGTCTTCACCATTTCTGGGCAAACCAAAAGTTCAGGATGTTTTCGAGAAGCATCCCATTAATGGTGGGGGTCGAATTAATGATAAATCATCAACATCGCAGAACTGGACGTGCAAAAATGTTGGGAAAGAATCTCAAGCATCAACGACATACTGTATACCCTCTGGTAAACTAACATAGCTATGGAAAATCACTGGTTTTAATGGGAAAATCCACTATAAATGGTCATTTTCAATAGCTATGTTAGTTTACCAGAGGGTATTATAATTGAACGGCTTGAGAGTGGTTCAATCATTGATCCATCGCATTGATCTCCTCAATTTTTGATTGCAAAACCATGCAACATCTGTACAAACAGCAGGGTTTATCGTACAATGTGGCTACAGAAAACCATTAAAAAAGAAACAAAACAAAGTGTTTTGGATGGTTTCAGAACGTTTTTCCCTAGTTTCATGGACTTTCTGGAGAGTTCTTCAACCAAAAACGGGAGGAAAGATCTCATATTTGACGGACTTGTCGACTTGTCTATTTGTGGTGAATACCGAGAGCATCAGGAAACTCTTGCCATGTTGAATTCCCAACCACCCTACAACATACCAGTCTTTTGCTGTTTGCTGTGGCTTAAATATCAATCTGACTCTGATGTTTGTGTAGGAATCATTAAGAATCACCGGAAATCTGGATGGTGGCTTCAAATCCTCCATAGTCACACGCGCCTAATCAGATGGAAGGTCGTCATAATCGACATTTTCTGGGATTCTCCATCAACAAAGAATGATATGTGATGGAAAAATAGTCCTCCGGATGGTCCAACATGACATAGTTCAAACTATGTCATGTTGGACCATCCGGATGATGATAGGTGATATTGCTATCCCATTGAAATCCCATCAGATCGGAATCCACCTGGGCCATTTTTTGGGCAGATTCCATCGACAAATCTGGAAGGTCCAATGGTAGCTTTGTGAAGGATGCAAAATGCATCGTCTTCACTGGCCTTGATGCCCTTCGTTGGAGATCCCATGAGTGTTTCAGCTGTTTCCCACGATATATCCTGTGTCATCACATTCTTTGGCATGTCACCAAAATCAATAAACCTGGTTGGCTCAGTCCTTTTCAGCGGTATTGAAGCGAACTACACTTTTAGCTAGAGTGTATTGATTCGAAAGCAACTTCAAGACCTTGATAAATCCATTGAAATACAAAGATGGCTTTCTTGAAACAGCCCATGCTTCAGATGATGAGCCTACTGGGATCTCCGGAGTGTATACAAATGTGCTACAGTGGCTTTAACTCTCGACAAGCTTTCCGAGGAAGCAGATAGTTCTACCCTTCAAACTTAGGCCCCCGCACAGCTTTGTGAAGAGCAGAACATGTGCTTTTGATCCACAGAGTTTGACTGGACACATTGATCTGATGGCCAAGAAGTCAAAGAATCCAGACAGGAACAGTTGGATTGAAGGAACCCTACAACATGGGATTAACACCCTACAGTGCACGCAAGCTTCAACGCCCAAGTTGGAGACACTGTAACTCGCCATCGGGAAATCTGGTGCTTGACGGTGCAAAGACCGTGTTTTTTTTTGCCACGCGAGAAAATGTGGATATGTCGCTGTAGCCTGTGGTGCCCACAACAATGGAGAAGGATCGGACCTTATCACTTGTGTTGGACTTCGTAACGCGATATAATGGGTTTCAAATTGCCTTTGCACATTCCGCGACAAATAAAAGGTCCACGCTATATAATCTAACATCCAATGACAACCGCCAGGATGAAAGCAACCTACAACAGATACAGATGGTCTTCGACATTTTTCGACCATTTTCAGATCACAGATCTGCAGTGCCATTTAGGACACACCATATCCACTCCCCAAAAGATGAGAAAAAAGACACCAAAAAAGATGGTATTCAGCCTAGCGATGCTATGTCAGATACTATATGATACTTTACAGATATATAGATATCTATAGATATCTATAGATAGTAGATGATACTATATGATATTATATATCTCAACAACAAATGAGATATAATGGGCCACCAAGTTCCAGTGGCTGAGGCCTTTCTGGCCTCCGTGCTGGCAGAGGCTACCAGGCGATTAGGGGTTGTAGGGTCCGCCTGAGTCAGCTGACAGCAGGAGAATCATGAAATGACTAAGGGATGACTAAGGGATCTGGAGTTGTAAACCAGGTCATAAGGCAAGATATGATGATTGCGCGAGCATTGTGGAGAAATGTGAACAAGAACGAAAAGACGATACTCGGATCGCGGGGTCCGTTGCTCTGAATAGCCGATAAGCGACTGATGCTTAACTAGGGAGGGCGGTCACCCAACTTCCAAAAAACTGGAGGAATGCCAAGTGAACTCCCATGATCCCCCCCATGGTATGCCATGAGCAAATGGTCAGTTCATCCCTACACAGGTCAGACTGCAGCTTTGTGACCATTTTATTGTCGGGGTCCCCCAGTTGGCTGAGGCTTCAATTCTACCAAGGTTTGTCTTGCAATGTGGTAAACCCAATCATAAACCCAATAATTAGATTCCATTGTTTGTTCTTAAATTAACCTGAAAAAAGGTGGATAGTTCCATGGTTCGTCGCGGCTTTGTGCAAGGTCCCAAATTTTGAGCCATCTGCCAAGCGGTTCGTTCCCCATGGGCCAAGGGTTTAAGACCCTCATTCTGAAAACACTGTAGTAAGATGGTCATATACGAATGAACATGAGGGTTTGAGCCAGCAAAATGGGGACGACCAGCAAGACATGGGAGGTTTTAACTGGTTGACTATTGAATGATATCAAAAACATTCAAAAAACATGAAACACGTGGGATTTGCCAAGGTCTGAAGATTTCCTTCCCTGTTCGGTGGCTTTGGTCCGGTCCATCCGCCAAAGCCAGACCGTGCACGAGGCATGGCATGAACGAGATGATCCTGCTGCAGTTGTTTTTTTGGTGCTGAAAAGGAGGATGTCTACATGTAAATGTTCATCTTAATTTATGTTAATTTGTCTTAACTTATCTTATTATGTTCATCAACCTGCCCTATTTTTTGGATTGTGATCTTGCAACTACCAAACCAAAATGATGTGCGTGTTTGATACTTTGTGGTTCAATGATCCCTGCTAGATTCAGATGCCTCAGGTCTTTGGCGTTTATACATGTTTATACTGTATGTGTTTATCTTCATGATCTTCATGTCTCTCCCTTTTGAATGGAGACGTTTATCAGATTTTATCACCGATTTGTCCATGATCAGTGTCCAGCTGATGAAAGTTGCCAACCGTTTGAGCATCTCCACAGGTCACGGCTCTAGTCCTTCCGGAAATCTCCGAAAATGCGCGTGAGCAGATTCTGGAGGTCCGCCGGTGATTGGGAAACCTTTTTGGGCCCACAAATGGTCCGGCCGTCAATTTTGGGATCTAAAAGTCGTGCAAATTTCGCAGGGTTTACATTGTTGACCCGTGCCCAAGTAGAATTATTCACCAGGCAGGTGTGGGGTGGAGTGGATTTTTTGAAATGGATGGTGATATCCGGTAAAACCTATTTTGCGGCTTCATTTGAGACTAATTACAGGAAGTCAGATGGGTTGAGACACTGCAACCGCAATTTGACCGGGGAGAAACTGACACTTCTGAAATAGCAATGGCCACAGCTTGGCGATTTCATGGTGACTTTCAGATGTTCGGATTTCCCGGAGGCTGGAGCTGATCAAGTGGTAACTGCCCAGGCCTGTCCGTCTTGGGGCCCACTGAAGTCCACAGCTTTGCCGAAGTTTTGATCATCGTTTTTTGGAATTCTAAAGTTATTGACATAAGTTGCCATGAATTGCCAATGCTTCACAGAAGCCTTCACTGGGATCACTGGGCACCCCAACTCTTATGCAATACTGCATGCGAGTGATCTCATAACCTTCCGAGAGGAGATCCAGAATCCCAACGAAGTGGTGCCGGGCAGCCCAGATGTTCAATCCGACCAAAAAGAGATCGAGATTCCATGAGATCATGAGATACCATGCGATACCATAAGATACATGTAACAAAACGCCCATTTCCTCAGTGCCCGGGTTGAAGTTTCAGACTTTCTGTGGAAGTTGCCGCAGGCAGTACCAGGCATTTGCCAAGAACTATGCCATTTTGAGGGTCCGGGGCCAAACTTGGGAGGCTCCCTGCAGTCAGGTGTCGTCAATGAGGATCTTTGCTGCTCAACATGACAGCCGACAGGGGACATCTCAGGAATCTTCGTTTAGCCTAGCCAAATCCAAATATCAAAAGCAATGAAATCCACTCTTCAGAATTCCAACAAAGCCCATTATTTTTCCTTATTGGAAGTGCATGTAATACTGTAGCCCTTATTTATTCCCGCTCTGTTTTGACCGTTGCGATCACATTTCTTGTATGAAGTGACTTGAAGTGACCTCAAAGTTTTGGTGGATAAAACCCCATTAAAAGCCTCATTCAACTAGAGATACACCCTGCTTTGAGGTTTCACAATCGATGCCGGGGTCGACGGGTCGACGCCCAGGTTTGGCAGCTTGAAGAGTTGACCAAGAAAGCCTTTCATCGGGCAGCACCTGGGCGGAATTCCAGGAGAAGATGGAAATGGGGAATGTTAAAGTCTATGAAAACATACTTGGATACAATGAGATATAATGAGATACAATGAGATATAATGAGATACACATCTATAGATACTATAGATACTTAGATACGATACACTCTATGCATGTGTCACTCCGTGTCATCCGCTCTTTAAATTTATGATGAACAATCAATCATAATTGTGGTTGCGATTTGCCCAGGAACGATCAGGAACGGGCTGATCACGTGAACATAAGACTTCAGCATCTTCAGCAGCTCTAAATTCAGGCCCCTGATGACTGATGAGTTCCATTTTTTGATATGTTTGGTTTGCTTAGGTCTACATGGACAGCGACATGGCAGCGGATTCCCAGGATTCTGTGCAGAATTTGGCTGTGACTAGGGAAGTCTATGGGGATGTCTTGGAAACAGATCAAGATGGTCAAGATGGCTGGGTCACAAGAGTCGACAATAATGGCTTGCAACATGTAGCTCCAACTATCGTTTTCACATGTTTTCAGATGTTTTCGATACTTCAAATCCATTCAAATGTGCCGCATTTTGTGACAAAATGATGTTCCAATATGTTCCAATAGCCGAGATCATGACCAAGAACAGCGACCACCTCTGTGATCAGCCAGAACTGTCGGCTGCCTGGGATCCCCAGCCGCCAAATCCACGTGGTCACCATCATAATCCATGATACACCTATAGTTTGTATACAAACAATGGGAATAGTATACAACTAGGAAACTGACACAGGAATAAGATGGAATAACATCGAATAAGAGAACAATGGTGAATAGATCAATATGTATTGAACTCTCAACATGCCATGTGGTGATTCGGGCTGTGACATCAATGAACCTGCTGACTTTCCGGCTATGGGCACCCGAATACCACCACTCATTGAACTCCATTGAACTCCACTTTTCACACCCAAATATCCAATGAGTTGACTCGCGAGATCGAGATCCATCCCTAATCCTACCTGGTCCTACCATGTCCTACCTGGTAACTTCCCGATGAATAGGTCAATGGCTTGATCCTCAGCCATAAAAGGCCTTGAACATGCTACAATAGGTACAATACCCAGCTAGACATTTGTCCGAGTCGTTCCATTTATGAACAAAACTCAGTTTCCCATGATCCAAAAACTTCACAAAAATTCCCACACATTTTCCCACTATTTCTCACATCCCAACGGTTTTTCCCAACGGATTTTCCCACAGGCTCGTGACTTGGCCACCAATGAGGCGCGCAAAAAAACACGCTGAAAGTGAGCGAAACCGACTAAAACTGCCTAATATTAAATATACTAGTATTGTATTAGTCAGTAGGAGTGATATTAGTATTGTATATTAGTTTAATACACTAGTAAACCGTGGTAAAATATATGAATATCAATATAGCATATTAATGTAGAATAGTAATAGTATAGTATCACCGAATATCACCGATTCGGCAAAATCTTAAAACTGTTTGGCAGACTTGGTAAATGGTGTGTAGATTAATATTTCATGGTATCATTCAAATGGTCAGTAAAATGCTTGGTGCAATTGGTGCAATCCCCACATCTCCGGGTGAAGATATGCCAGGTGAAAAACCACCAACAGTTGGATCATCCAAGTTGGATTTTTCATGGCCATGACGACGCCATGACCTCGTTCTACACTAGTACGACAGAGGAAGTCTATGTGGTTTCCGGAAAACAGATCAAGGCAAAATAACAAGATCTTTCTTTTAACGTTGATCCTCTGTAAGTTAACTTGCCAGTATGCGAATTTCCAGTCTATGGCAACTGTTCCAACCCCCGGGCCGTGTGCCATGGGGGAAGCTTCAGAAAGTGGCAAGGAGCAGAACGAGGTTGTCGATGTTGAAGTCATCACTTTGGGGAAGAGATTCAAAGTCAGCGATGTTCCCTGACTCGCAATTTGCATCAATTTACATATGTTTGCCCCACAAAATCGGATCCAGTGATGTTCCTTAGAACTAGTCTTCAATGATCAAAAAGATTGGACCCCATGCATGGTTTAAGATCAGACGTCACCAATTTTTTGGGTTCATATGTGGACCCCACTGACTTGATCCACACTGGTTTCAAGCCACCTGGGACTGGAAAAAAAATTCTCAGGTGCCGATTTCCATGTTGGGGCGCGATTTGCGCCGGATGATTTGTGCACGGCTTCCAGGGAAGAGCGGTGCACATGTGGTGGTGCAACATGGATCATCTCCATTGTCACTGAACCAAAGCCTGGTGCAACAAGGAATTGTTGAGGGCTGTGTATCCCTGAGCTGTGTGTATCTTCCAGTGAATATCGCTGCTGCTTGGCGCTTTCTCAAGGGATACCAGGTGGACGAGGAGGAGTTTTCCTTGCATGGAGTGACGCAACTTGAAGGAATCCAATCTGGAGATCAGCTAATGAGATTACCAAACACTTTGAAAAGATTGGCTTTCGCAGATGGTTTTGCTGACAACTTGGATCTAGATATCTTACCAAGCAGTCTGCAAAGCTTGACTCTTCCCGATGAGTTTGATCAGAGCTTGGATCATGTTAATCTGCCCATTGGCCTTCGAAACTTGACCTTCGGCCAACTGTTCAACCACAGAATAGATCACTTGACCTTGCCGTCCAGCCTTCAAAACTTGACGTTTGGATGGAAATTCAATCAGAGCTTGGATCATGTAGAGTTCCCAGTTGCACTCCAGCGCTTGTGCCTAAGGGGTGACTTTAATCAGAGTATGGACCAAGTGAAGTTGCCTGGTTCCTTACTGAGCCTGCACTTCAGTCCCATGTTCAACCACAGCATGGATCGCGTGAACTTGCCAACTGGTCTTCAAAGTTTGACCTTTGGCACCAGATTCAATCAAAGCCTGGAGCCTGAACATTTGCCGAGCAGTCTCCAGAATTTGACCTTGGGCGGGAGGTTTGACGAGACCTTGGATCAGCTCAGGCTACCAGCGTCCCTCCAAAGTTTAACCTTTGGTGCTGAGTTCAACCATCCTATTGAGTCCAAGCTGCCAAGACTGCAGAGCCTAAATTTTGGTGATGCCTTTGACCAACACTTGGAGCTTGGGAATTTGCCATCCAGCCTCAAGAGCTTGAGCTTTGGCGATGAGTTCAACCAGCCATTGGACCCAGGAGTTTTGCCCAATAGCCTGCAACATTTGGCCTTTGGCAAAGAGTTTAACCAACCCATGGAGCGGGTGAATTTACCTTCCGAACTCCAAAGTTTGGTCTTTGGTGATAGATTTAACCAAGCAGTGTCTAAAGTGCAGTGGCCCAGTGGCCTGAAAACTTTGACCTTTGGGAGCCGCTTCAATCAACAGCTGTCTCAGTTGCCACAAGGCCTGCAGTCTTTGACTTTTGGAAATATGTTCAATCGCAGATTGGATCAGATTCAGCTGCCCGATAGCCTTGAGACTTTGATCTTGGGTACCCTGCACAACATCGTCATGGAGAGGGTGGCGTTGCCCACTGGTCTGCGTCATCTATCCTTTGGCCATGGCTTCACTCGAAAGTTGGATGGAGTGAAGCTGCCCCAAGGACCGCCCAACGGGGCTATCAGCGGCATACCAGTGGCTACCAGGGCTGTCGCAGTCAGTTTTCTTTCAGGATGATGGGGATGGTTTTTGTGTCCAAGGGTAACCCCTGACATACCCATCATCCAGGACTGCAGAGTCTCTCCTTTGGAGCCCTCTTCGTTCATTTGGGGACAGTGAATCTGCCAAATGATCTCCAGGTTTTATCCCTGGATGCCGATTGCAGCGAGATCTTGTGCCGCGGAATCCCCCTACCCAACTTGAAGCGATTGAATCTGGCCTTCCCTTGGTTCACTGGCGACCTGAGTGCCTGGGATGCACGAGATTTGTGCCTAAGCTCTTGAAATCATTGGATTCTTGCCATTTTATGTTTTTGTTGAGTTGTACGACACATACCCGAAAAAATCCGAAAAAAGCCAAGTTTCTTTTCGGAACCTTGAAGAAACCGTTCTTATTGGATGCAATTTGGCATAGAAGCCGTGCATGACGTGAGTGTTTTATTCCCTGATCCTCCCTTGATCCTTTGAAACTCACGGAGTTCCACTATGTTCCAATACCAAAGTTTAGAAAATAGGGTCCGGACCCTGTCCCCGAAGAATACGTAGGGTTTCATCTATATTTGTCAATCCCAACGAAACAGCCAAGCTTTATTTGGTGACTCTTGGGTCCGAAACCCAGTGATATCCAGTGATACAGAGCCAAGGTCAAATCGATTTGCCGATCCATCTACACGAACTCCTTTGTGAAGGTCTCTTTGTGAGCTGCGTCGAGCCTTGATGGGCCTCGCTGTGTGCGAGCAAAATGGGAAGACCGGGAAGACCTTGCTAATGGTTGGAAGATGTTGGAAGATGCTTCTGAACGCAGGATTCGTAATTCTTCGGGGTTCATCCTTTGTTCGGAAGGTGTAGCCAACTCTTAAAACCGCCAATGGCTCTGATGCCCAAGCATAACTGGAAAATCATGCTCAAGGGATCTCAAGGGTTCGGGTTTCTCATGGTTTATTGCCTTGGATGTGCTTCCTACAAACCGGTGAGATGCAGTTTCCCTACAGCAACATGATGCAACATGTTCAAATTACGGGGCACCCAAGGCGGCTGCAAATCTTTTTTTTATCCCTGTTTTCAGCAACATTTTCCCACCTGGCATGCCATCAGGCGGAACTTCATAGTGAGGATTTCAATGCGGGTCTCATGGTTTTGGAACCCAGTGAGGCTCAGCATCCGGATGTTGAATACGTGGCTTGGATCGGATGCTGTTGCAACAAATGTCATGGTAAAGTTGGACCCATTGCCATAGCTGCCATAGCTGGTGGATGACCATCTGGATGACCTGCTTCCTGCTGGAACTGGAACTGGAGCATGTTTTGAAGAGCACCAGGAGTTCAGATAGATTCAGTTAGAACATCAAAAGCAGCAAGCATTTTTTTCCATCCATTTCTGGTGTAGATTGACTCATTGACCTCATTGACATCAAAATATCCATTGCTTTCCATTTTTCTGGGGGTTTTGGCTGCTGATCAGCCATCTCTAGGCCACCTTTCAACGCCTCGTGCAGCTGGCTCCACACATTAGCTGCCTGGCAGCATGATGCAGCAAGGTGTATTCCAAGTGGGTTTACGGCGTTTACGGGTCCATTTGTCATGAATCTGTGGTTTCAAGATGTTTCAAGTTGGGTTTTCGACTGTTGAGAAATTTGATCTATGCCCAGACTATCCTATCTATCCTAGATCCCAAGATTCAAAATATTCAAGTTGGGTTGCTGGTTTGATCCCCATGACCCCAAGATCGAGGTTGTCGCAGGACTTGACATCCCACTACTGTGTACCATGGATAGAAACCGAATCCAGCAATGAAACTCCAGAAGCAGATAGACATAGAAGCACGGTTGCTAGCCTGCAGAGTGGATGAGGGTGAAAGGGACACTATGGGACACTATGGGACACTGCCAAGGCATGTCTTTGCACGTTCCCTATCTTTCCCCTCTTGGCCCTCTTGGCCCTCTTGGCCCTTCCTCACACCTGAGATTTCTTCAAGGCAGCCCATCTGGCGGCGTACAGCCACTGCTGCGTGAGGGCCTTGGAGACGGCAGCTGCGGCTGCCACATGTTTTGTCACGAACTGAATAAGACTGAAAGTAGACTGAATAAAATTATTATGAAATTTAAATGAATTTAAATGAATTTAATAAATTCTATAATACCCTTGCCAGCCCTTGGCTTGGCCAATGGCTGAATGGCCCTGAGGCGCAGCATTCTCGAACTTTCATCCCTTGGACCACCTGCGGGACAATGCGTGTTGCCCCAGAAATCCAGCGCCAGCCAAGTAGGAAAAGCAGGGGAAGATTGGTGGTGAGCACCTTCTGTTTTAATGAGTTTAATGATCACAGTTCCTTGATCTGATGTTTGAGCCCTTAGTGCCTTTGTGTGAGGAGAAGCATGTATTATTATTAATGGATATGAATGGCATGAATACAGAAGCATACTATTGCAAAACCTCTGTTCGGGTTGGCGTGCTCTCGGTGGTTTTACAGAGATGGTGATAATATGGTTTGCACATCTTTGCACTTTGGCTCGTACAGTGAGTACTTCAAATTCCATTATCATGTCCAACTAATGTCCAAGCAATTTGTCTTGATGTTTTAGGTCAATGCACGGCTCTTTGATCTTCGACGTGGTTCATGGCGATTCTCAGAGGCCAGTGGTAAAGCTGTTGCATTTGATTCGCTAATATTCGTTATCTTGGTCATTGATTCGATTGATTCATGTTCCATATATTCCATGAAACTGCTCAATTCTTGCCCGGTGAACTTCTCTGAGCCGGGGTCCCCCGGTCATTGGTTTGTGTTTTTGCAGATTCGGTCTATCCACTACACTGGTCCTGTGAAGTCTGAACCTCGAAACCTCGACATTGAAAGGTTCTGAAAGGGTGGTCGTTTCGAGCTGATCATGGCCAGTTGGTTCAGTTGGTTCAGTTGGTTCTGCCATGTTAATTTCTCAATGATCTCAATGGCCCCATCCCGAATGACATCGAATGACCACATGTTTCGGAGAATAGAATCAATAGAAACTGAAGTGAAGAACATTAGTGGGCCTAGCATCGCCTAGCTGATGCCTTGATGTCTGCACTTCTTGTTTGCTCAAATAGTGTTTTTGAGCAGCAACAAATCGTTCCATCTGAGGCCCTGCTTCACTTTGCCCAGCGACTTCGCAGATGAAGACTGGGAGCAGTCGGGGATCATGGTGCCATGGTGCCATGCAGCTCTTGGTGCCAGCGAAACCTGACCAGGGGAGAGGCATCTAAAACCGACCTTATGAATCTCAAGCAGCCGGTGGCTGGCATATTTCTGTTGGTTTGGTTGTATGAAAATCCATCCATTGGACATCTGGCCAGCTGAGGCCCATGCGTGTGTGGCATCGCTTCCAACAGGTTGGAAATGTGGAACACTGGCTGAATGATTCAATTGGTGATGCCAGGCACCATTTTTTGTGAATAACCAGTCGGTTAGTCGCTTAGTCGCTTAGTCCCAGAATTGTGAATATCCTGGAACTGAAGTCGCATAGCCGCGTAGGTCAGTTATCTAGCCACAAAGTGGTGAAATGAAGTGGGATGCACATCCAGTAGGAGGTCCTCATCTTTTTGGCGAAATCTGTGGTTCCCCCCACGACCTGCTGAGCAGTATTGAGCCGTCAATCTTGGCCACGAAATTGACTAGATGGACAGTGATTGAGATTTACAGAAAAACTTAAATTGCTGTAAAATCCCACTCACCTTCCAAAATTGGCCAATTCGGCTCAGTTGTTTGCCAATCTGTTTAAGCCATGGTGCCGGTGCCGCTGACGCTTTGCCTTGGTGCCCTTGGTGCCCTTGGTGCCCATGCCTTGCGCGACCGCACCACCTCGGCACATCACTCAGGCAATGGGACCATTGGCTGATGAAAACAAGAGTTCCCCTGACCCAATGGGCCCAATAATTGAATATAATTGATAGATCTCCATCATATCCCCTTCATATCTCCTTCATATCTCCTTCATAGGCTGCACGTCTACCCAACCCCCCAACCCCCCAAGCCCTTGCCAGGAGCGGGTTACAATGCCTCGACAGGCGACTATGATTGTCCTTGCAACGGTTTCCTGGCAAAGCATCTGAAAGCCTTGGCACAACAGCCGGGTTTCCACCGCTTTCCACCGCTTTCCAACAGTCCAACAGCACTGAGGTTTAGCTCTGGAATCACAACTAGCTCGCATGGCTCCTTGGTTGGGGATACTGCACGTCCCTACTTTGGCTTTGATACTACATAGATGACATAAACCATACTAATGATATATTAATGATATGTACATCCTCTGAAGTAAGTGTTGTTATTGTCACACACCAAGAAAGTCAACAACTTGGATTTTTTCTGGCGCGGTTTTGCTTGCAACTGCCGGGGTCAGCGGATAATCTTCCTGACAGCGGTTTGCTTCCCAATGCTATATTCAGTGCAAGGGGGTGAAGATGGGTGAAGCAGGAAGGCCTGTTTTCCAATGATTCTTCCTCTGACTGGGAAGGTGATGAAATTGTCAGCCTTTCGATGGCCGCTTCAAAGGTAGCCATTTCCTATGACGAGAAAAGCATCCGATCTCTGGAGAGCTATGCCAAAGAGCTTTTCTCCTGCTCTTTGGCAGCGACTGGTTGAGGTATGAATCGGTTTTTTGAAGCAGGAGCTCATTTCACTCCAGATGGGGAGAAACCATTCTAAAATCACCTATGAAAACGATTTCCTTTGAAGCTCAAGAAACCCCGAGTTCTGAGTGCTGTCAGTGAACCATGGCCACCATGCAGGATGCAACCTGCCAATGCTAAGGCTACAGCTGGAGTGTGCGGGTACCCATGGGGTGTCCAGGGTCACAGGGACCGGGTGAGAGCTTTCGACGGATGTTGCTAGGGGGACACCTCCTGGCAGCGGCTACTTAGATGTTGGCATCCCTGGCATCCCTGGCATCCCTGATTGTGTTCTTTGACACAGGGTACCAGGGGTGCCAGTTGGCCGAACATACCGAGAGAGTCCAAGTTTGGCATCGCAGGGAGCATATTGAGCATATTGCAGAGGTTTCCTGTCTGCTGCATTTTGCTGCGCATTTTTGCTGCATTCGCCAAGGACTTCTATTACCATCTGCCAAACAGCAACTTGGCAGATCCACATGTGGTGCACATCCCATAGATCCAAACTCTAACGTCATCATCTTTGGGGTTCAACGGTTCAACCCATTAGCGTTTTTGGAGACTTATCGGATACTTCATCTTCATACTATCTGTACATATGTAGTACAATTCTGTACATACTTCTTGATGAATTGATCATGTCCCACTGCTCACTGCCGCTGTGCGCTACCGTGGTGAGGCGGCCTCTTCCAAAGCGTCTTGGCCAAAGTCCACTGGACGACGCCCACGGCCTTCGTGGGGCGCTGCGTTCCTCAGCGAGCAACCGGGGGATCAACCGGTCATTGTTGAACCATGTTGAAACTTAATAGAAATTCACGAAATGGATGTGAAATATTGTGAAATGGGGATAGAAAAAGAAGCAGACTGTTTTTACTGTTTATTGCTACTCTATTTCTGAGTTTCAAAGATGTTCTGCTTTCTGTTTTCTACCCCTAGGCCCTAGGACTGGGACGATTGGGTCCCAGGTGTCCGTATGTTTGAGAGGCTCCAACCGAACCAGTCTGGATCAGTCTGGGACTCTTGGGAGGTACCTGGATTTCCATGCCCACATCATCCCACATCCATTCAGTAGGTGAATTGGTTGCCTCAGCTTCATACTGAACATTGGATAACTGTTCCGAACCACCGCATCCACGAACACCAGGAAACAATCCTGAATAACTGGGGCACGATGCCAAATCTATGGATGACAATCCTCATATCCCCCAAAAAAACGAAAATTATCATCCCAAGGCTTGTCATAAACAAAGAGAACAAAGACTGGATTCTGCCGTCGCCTTAGCCCCGGCCCCAATCGGCCCCAAGGCCATGAAACCGCAGACCTGCACGGTGGCCTTCAGCGGCGCCACGGGTTTGAACTTCGTGGCAGGCCGGGACAGGGCGAGGATGGGGGAGGCATATCCAAGGAGCCAAAACAATTTTGTTGGCAAAATTCCTTCACTTTTGAGATGGTGAAACAATTAACAGGCGATGTCAATATTTTGTTCATTGTCAATCATCATGTTTTTTGCAGCGCTGGTTAGATTCTAGTCACTTTTTGGCCAGTTGAAGCAGTTGATCTGAGGGATCATGAGCTCCTCACCGGTGACCTTGAAGAAAGCAAGCGACGGCAGCATCCAAGTGGCCCTGGCTGTGGGTTGGGTCAATTCCCAGGAGAAAATGTGAGGAAAAAAGGAGCAAAACATCTAGTGATATCCTGGAAACTGGATGTTTTCGAAGTTGGATCCTGGATTAGCTTGGATGTTGCTGTTGATGAGACTTTTGGAAGGGGATACAAGGCCTTTGGACTCGATAGCTGGGATCTAGATAGCCAAAGTATCAGTTTGGTTTGGGCCTCAAGCATTGGTGCTGGCGTTGTGTCAGCGCCACATGGCCCCAGCTTCCCAGCCTTGAGGTTTCGGATGATGGGACTGGGCACCGCTTCCATCAGTTTTATTGGAAGGTCTACGAGGCCACTGGGCCACACCTGGCCAGTCGAACCACCGAAAATCCGTCATCCAAGTTTTGGCACCCATGAGTGTCACAACATGTCACAGCTAGATTCACGGGGGTTCAGCTGTTGCCAGCAATCTCGGCCCAACTCCCTTGTCAAAAGACTCGCCAAACATCTCGCCCAAAAGACTCCCAGCACCTTTGGCTGCACCTTGCTCATAGCTGGAGGTCTTCAGAGAGCAGATCGGTGACAAGGTCATCGATGCCCTGAAGGCCCCCGGGACGTCTCTTTGTTTGGTCAACAACTTGGGATAGAGCGGTGTACCCGGTGTACCCAAACAGCCAGTTGATGTTTATTGTTTTTTTTAATACACACGGGATAAGGGACATATCACATATATATATATATACATACGTATATATACATATATATATATACATATATATATAGAGAGAGAGTATGATATCATATGTAATTTGTATCTATAACCAGCATTGACCAACAATGTGATATTTGGATTTGTCAACAAAATGAGGGATGTGGCCCTACGCTTGCGATGATGGCATATTTAGGGGGACCTGGGTACCTCATTTTCAGACAGAGCCATAGTTTCCCGTCCTATTGCATTTCACCTTGCTGCACCCTGTCGACCATCTTTCTGCTGTGCAGGATGATGGATGCAAGAGTACTGATACATGCGAAGTGTAAATCGTAAGAAGTGTAAATCGTAAGAATTTGAAATCAAGACATTAGGCACATGAATGAATGATTCTATGTTCTTTGGGATCATAAAAAGTTCTTGTCCCTGCAACACCTGCAGGGCTGTGAGCACATCACCGTCACCGGACATTCCATCGGAGCTGCCTTGGCTGCTGTCACTTGGATCAGTCCATGATGCCTATGGCTTTCGCAAGTTCACATTCACATTCACGAAGCCCACAAGAAATGGGGAGGTCATCGGAAAATGACACATGGAAGTCATGGGAGGCTTCCACAGGATTCCACAACCATTTTCTCGGAATCCTTGACTGTTTTGGGCCCAGTCGCCCACTTCTTAGCTTCAGGCTCCAGGCTGGCCACTGCTGTTTTTTGATCTGGGGCTCAAGGCATTTCCAAACACGTATAGTTGCAAAGAAAGCAAAGAACGAGCCATGGACATGGACCAGCCAGAGAGTGAGACCGAGATGGAGAGCCCCAAACCGGAAGATGAAGTGCAGAGAGAAAGGGAAGCACGAGAAGCCAGGAGGATGAGGCATGGAGCGAAACATTTCCAAAATGTGCAGAACTGCAAGGCTCGGCAGATGGGGAGATTGCAGATTCGCATTTTGGGGAGCGGAAAGCCCAGTCCCAGTCTTCATGGAAATTCTGGTTGACCCTACAAAGTACAAACTTAACCCACAGACATCAAGGGTTACTATCAATCGACACATTTGTTTTCTGTAGCATAAAATCCGTTCTTCTTGATTGTGGTCAATACCGTCAATACCCTCTCACCAACTATCACCAACCAACCTTATTTCTGATAGGCCACCAACCTTTGGGGCGCAGGATAAAACCTTTGTGAAAAGGAACAACCGCGTGCATAAATGCGTGGACTATGTCGAGGAGCTCGTCAATGCGAATGGTGATCCAGAGTTGTTGGCGAAAGGACTTACGAAGATGAAGGTGGGCCCACAAAAAGGCTGCTGTTGGCTCCTATATCATCATCCCATATCATGCTATGCATGGGTATACCTGGTTGGATAGAGATTATCTATGATTGATCATCATTGTTGGAATCCAGATCTGCCGGGCTAAATGTATACAGAAAGGACCGGTGTTTGATGTAGCTGATGTAGCTCAGGTGAACGAAGGAGTTTCCAAGGCGGCAACAAGAGCTGCTTGTGCAGCCATCCGATTTGCAGGGAGGACTGTCTCACCGCAATGCCAAGTTATTTTGGAAGCCTTGGTCTGGGCTGGGAAGACAATCCCTTGCGTTGAGCAGAGCATCAACTATGTGTCCGAAGTGCTCTCCGACCAAGTGTGTGCAGGCGTCAACTATGCGTCCAACGTGCTCTCAGAGTCAGTGCATGCCTGTGGGTGCCTCGGATATCCTTGAATTGTCGTCGGATCTTTGGTTGGATATGTGTGTTTCGTGTTGCGTGTTTTTACAGTTGCGCCTAATTTGCGCCGACTTGTCACAGGTGCTTAGGTGTTTCCTTAAGTGGAGGAGTTGTTTCTCCGTGAAGTACTGTCTCGGGAATTGAAAGCCAAGTGGCTCACCGGGTTTTCATGGCAAGCTAGCGGTCACTACAGGGTTTTTCAGTGGTTTGTGCCGTTTGTGCATGGTTTGTGCTTCATCTCAAGGGGTACCTGAGGCGTTTCTTCCGAAGGATGACCGGCCGAGAAGATGCGGAAGACAGCCGAAAGGAGGTCCCAGCATGGCATCCACCGCATCCACCGCATGATCCACCACACCCACCGGGTGCTGGTGGAAGTGGCAGTGCAGGCCTTGGTGGTCTCTTGGTGGAAGCCCCCCATGCTACCTCCCATCTCGCTCCAAATGGTGCGGAATGTGCGGGTCCAAAACCTCCCTGTGGAAAGTGATGTGTTTTTCTTCACGGTCCAGGATGAATATACGTGAATACTCTCACCAGATATATTTCCAGGGCAGCTTTTCTGAGTGTCATCCCATGTCATCCCAGATTTCCGTTGCGACTGGCTCAGGTATTGACCTCGATGGACAGTGCACAGTGCATATTTCCGGTGCAGCTGGAAATCACAAGTCTGGAGTCCTGCTGTGTTTCGATGAAATCAGCGGCCTGTTTCAGTGGGCGCCTAAGAGCGACCTGGCATTCAATGACTTTGAGATGGCCAGTGCGCTACAGTGGGTGAAGGAACATGGCAACACTCAAGTGGCTTTCAGCCTGAACCCCCTCGATGACCAAAAGTTTCATTATGCAGGTGCGCCACTGAAGGGTGAACTTGACAGCAACCGACTTTCCGACTTTCGAACCATATTCTTATTTGGTTATGTGGTGTTTCAGGTGAACACCAAGAATCCCAAATGAGCAGTAGTTCACACCCCGACATGTCAACTATTGTGGAAACAGTTTTGGTATGTGAAGCCAGGCACTGAGGTTTCAACTTATGTCCACATTATCCAGCAAGGAAAGACAAACATGCACTTCTTTACGGTGTTTTCAGCAATTTCACATGATTCATGAGCAATTTTGGAGCCTTCTTTTTTGAAGCAGGTGATAGTGTGGATGGCCTATACCAAGCGAAGTGGTATTCCCATGACTCTTTGAAGTCCATCCCCTTGGGCTACTGGATGTGGCGGGCCGACTGGAAGTTGAAACAGCTGGTCCATCATTCCTCATACGATGATGCCACGGGAAAACGAGAGCCGTTGCGACCAGGGGCCACCGTACCTGCCGATTGGCCAGATGTTTTCCAAGGATCCCGCAGCTCAAGTCGTTCCATGCGGGCTTGGATCGTATGCCGAAGTGTGACGCTTCGTAGCTGTACATCGTCTGGGTGGATCACCAGAATGTTTTCACCAATGCTACGTCGTAGCATTGGTGAAAACATTCTGGTGATCCACCCAGACGATGTACAGATGGGTGTGGAGGAGCGTGCCCAAGTCTTCAACCAGGCAACCGGATCACTTGAGGATGCAAGAGAGCAGCCAGAACCTTCGCCAGAAGTGACACTGAGTTAAATTATTTCAAGTCAGACATGGTAAAAATAAGTAAAAATCGTGGTGCCTGGGTGAAAATTGCCAAAATTGAACAGAATAGTCGGCAGGTTGGGATGTTCACCTATCTAATCGCGAAGGTGTTTTTTCCAATTTTGGTTCCAACCCCAAATGCTGAGCATCTTTTGGATAGTACGGCTGTGTTGACCATGCAGAATGGTGAGTTCCCGCTTCTCACAGTGTGGAGACATGAGACATCCATCTTCCAAAGTAATGTTTGAGCCCGTGAATCTATTTGTGCCAGTGTCTTTGCGAATCTCCTGCCAATCTATTGTTAGCTGACGTTTGCTGCCGCATTGTCTTCAGTTTCTTGTCTTTCCTTAATTCAGAGCTTGAAAAAAATCCAGATGGGTTGAAATTGTTTGGCTATCATGCGAACCAGGAGATACATCGATCAAAACTACGACAAGGTTGCACATTTCCATCCCGAGCTACTTCACTGCAAGCGCATGGCTTGTCTACTGGCCATTGCACGGTTTTTGCACAGAGGCGTGTTGCAACGCAAAGCTTCTACATTTTCCATGCCGAAGCTGGGTTTTGAATTGTGGCCGATAGCCATCTCCGTTTGAGAGATTGCTATAGCATCTATAGCTGCTAGGGTTTTGTGACGGACACTTTAACTGCAAGACTCTAGCGATCAGATGTTTTCATGCCGCCAGCGCCGCGCAAGGAAGAGTGCAATCCCTAGGGACTTTGCCGACAATTCTGTCCCAGTGATCCAGGCCAGGCAAAACAGTCGACACCAAGAAGTTTGGCAGATGATTTATAGTTATGAATCAGTTATGAATATGAAAATTAATATTTATGAATATTCATGAACATTTATGATATTTCATACATTTCATGATTAATTTCATGATTTAATCTACTGAAAAAGTTTTTTCTCTTCGTTTGGGAAGCGTGGGAAGCTACACGGCCACAGGTCGAGCACCGAAAAGGTCTGCAGGAAGAGGCAGAGCTGCAGCGGCAAAGACAGCATGTCAACGACTTGGAGAAAGCGCTAAAGGGTTTGGAGGCAGAGTGCCTTGGACCAATGGATATCGATGGGACAAATTGAGCATTGAATTGACAGAACCAAACCACTTTCAGTGTGTAGCATAGGGCTTTTGCCGCAACATCATACGCTGTGCATGTTAGAGGCAGTGTAAAAGCTCCTACTTGTACAACCTGGATCTGTGGTTTTGTGCACTTTCAATCTTCTCGTAAGCTGCAAGTGACTTTGCAATAAGATTAACTAGCAGGCTTAGCAGGCCCTTGATAACTCCGAAGCCTGGGCATTTGCAGCCCTTGCATGTGACGCCCAGGTTTCAGCAAGCGAAATCCCGACTTGACCATCAGCCAGTGGACAGGTACAGTCAGACGTCGGTGGCCGCTTACAATCAGATGGTTGCAGAAACCAATGCAGCGCAGGAAAGACTCAACTCAATGGTTCCCGTCTTCAACCAGGCAGTGGACGCTTGCAACAAAGCCACACACGCTTATAACGCTGCAAATGCTTCGTGCAGGTATCGTGGAGGTGTTGAGTTGGAGATCCGAAACCTGGATGTAAAGCCTGTCAATGCTGAGGAGACGGAGATCTTGAAATCTTTTCGTCCTTTGGCAGAAGAAGTTTTGAGAAACCCGGAGATTTCAAGTCTTCTACGGCAACCTCATCTCAAGGAAGCGCCTTCGGTCCTCCAAGATGTCTACGACCAAAAGGACGTGTGCCTGAACATTTGGCCTGTGGCTAGACCCCAGCCAGTGCAGGTGATTTTGCACAGCTTGGAGAGAAGAGCAGAGCCTCAGCAGTATGGGATTGGCCCCATTTACTCAAATTTACTCACCCTGCTGTAATATTCTCATAATCATCTCTTCCCATCCATCTCTATAATCCATGTATATCCATGTACAACAACCACCTGGGCGTTAACAAAATTGGAACATGGGGGTGGAGTCCGGTGGAGTCCGGTGGAGTCCTCAAGTTTTGGACATTTTTGGACCTGAGGATCTGAACGGTTCCAGTGGGACCCTTGAAAGCCTTGAAAGCCCACAGCCAGAAGGTGGGAAAGGTGGGAAATACAAAGTCCATTTGAGCCATTTGAGCCATGACGGGGTCATCTCGGTGAAGCGCAAGAACTTCATCATTCTTTGCAAGGTGCAACTCTTTGGCCTCCGCAACGACCTTCACAACGGAAAGGTTGGCTCGATTGTCGGTGTCCGCAATGGTGGGATTCTCATCTCAACATATCTCAACACACTTTTGGCACCTTTTCTCGTGCTTGCTCACGTATTGGTCACGTATTGGTTCATGTTTTTTTTTCCGAACCTTGAGAGTGAAAGGGGGTTCTCCATTCACGCGTCGGCTGCACCTAAAGGGGTCACAGACTGCAATTCTGACTGCAGGATCTAACCGAATTTAAGGGATGGCCCAATATTTACCGTTTGTTTTGGTCTAAGATGGAAGGTGTTGGGGCTTCCGATACCGGAGCCATTTTTTTGAAGCAATTCCTTGCCAGGACAGAGCTACGCTATCTGGTTCGTCTATCAGACCGAGAAGTAGCAGTTGAACCGAAACATGTTCTCCTCCCTGTGGGTACCACAGGAACCATATTCTCCAATCTTGATGACCATGGCGTCTCGACCTTGTTAATTGTTTTGCTTTCCAAGCCTGCAAGGGCAGTCTCACAGTAGTCTCCTTGTGGGTGAAAAATCTTTTAGGACTCTAGGACCAACCCAAAAACAGTTGGGTCTTGGCGCTCAGAGACAAACGGAAGCACGATTTTGCCAAAGCTAAAGGAGGATTTTGCAGCTGACATGATGTGTGGGCAGATGCACAGCTGCAAAAAACAAAGCTCACATCCCCAGCAAGGTCGCCAGATTCCCAAGCCACCCCATGAGGCTTGGACATCCCTCCATATCCTCTTCATCTTAGAGCGCACCCAAATTGAAAGATATTGAAAAAGCATTTATAGATATTTACAGATATTTATAGCATCCCCAGACTCCCAACCCCATCCCGAACCCTTGAAGATTTCTTCTCTGCAAAGGGGACACAGCCAGATATTTCTTGTTGTTTATTCCAGCGAGCATAAAATGTCGCTTAGGCTACAACCATCTACAACCCTTCAGAAATATTCTACAGAGCCCAGAACCCCAACAATCTCAACATTTAGAAGCCTTGGACCTGAGAAAGTCTGTGTGATGCTTTTGGCCAAGGCACCGAAATCCGTATTCAAGGGCTGGCAACAGCAGAGAAAGACAAGGAGCGGAAATACGTCGTGGAGCTTCCTTCGGGCCAGACGTTAAGGATCAAAGCGGGCAACATCCTGGCATAAAGACCGTAAGGAGATCCGTAAGGAGATCCGTAAGGAGATCATAAAGATCATGGAGAAGCACGGGGAGCATGAAGTCTTTGATGATTCGATTCGGCACAGTATCCAGTCTCATTGCTTTCTGATGATGTATAGATGGATCAAATTGGACGTGGTCTGGGGTCATGACCTCAATATGTTTTGCTCAGGCGGCAGCAAACCTGTACAGAGTCAAGTTGACATTTTATCCTGCCATATCCTGCCTTGCACAACCGTAATTGTCCACTTGATCCCAGAAAAAGAAACAGGCTTTCTCCCTAGCCTGGCGGGCGTTTTGAGGCTGGGAGAGGTTCACAATGGGAGGCCCATCCATAGACAGGAACCATCATCAGTTGTCGTCAGCACCATCATCATTATCAATTATCAAGATTAGTGATCAAAGATACTACGTACCAAACATCAGTAATTATCAATCATCATCATCATCATCATCATCAATCAGCGGGCAAGATGTTTCAAGCATCAGACCATGACACCATGCAGGGAAGACCTGTGCAGCTGCAGCGCTCAGGTCTTTCAATGGGAACACTTAGATCGAGAAATGCAGCAGTCTCTTGGCGCACTATGTCCACTGTCAATACGTCCGTCCAAAAGTCCAGCAGTGGATTGCAAAACATGGAATCGAACGCGTTACAGTAAGGGGATGCTCTCTTCTGAGATAATTTGTAAATAGTGTAAATGTCAAGCAAGTACAAGGTTCCACCAAAAGCTCGGTACTTCACAGACTCAACCATCCAACAAACAGGTCAACAAAAACATGGTGTTGAATCGTACTATGTTTGAACACAGGCTACGACGGCTACAAACCCTTTCAAACAGACTAGTTGACAGACTAGTTGACAGACTAGTTGTGGTTCTGTTGTGGTTCTGTTTTTTGGGGTCACTCTTGGGATGCCTCAGTTTTAGCAGCTGCACCTGTCTACCTTCAGGATCACCATGGGCCAAAACGTTGCGTGGTACGGCAAACCTCCAGTGACTTGGACGGAGGCGTCATCGTTCAGATGTCTTTTTGATGGGTTCACCATGATGAAATACATACTATAAGTACACTGTTAGAATGTATGAATTACAATACATCCCACTAAAAATTAGTCTTTCACATCCCACCAAAGATTAAACTTCGGAGGATCAACAAACCACCAGGTAGTGTAGCACTTGTATCCATAGAATTCAATAGAACCACTGGATGGGTTGCTCCCCAGCATGGGATGTCAGAAGATGGGTAGCCGTAGCACACCAAGGATGTGGGTTGCCGTGGCAAACGGCTCTACTCCATCGACGATCCTGTGCGACAAAAGTCATACAGGATTTCAAGGGTCGGATGGATGACATGTTCATAGATGCCTCACTTGGCTGGGTTTCCCAGAGAAAATTCATGAACAGAAAAGCCATTGTGGTGCCGCAGTACAAATCTGTTTGCGGAAAACAGTGCCCCTTCACTGGTGAACAAAAGATTTTGGCATCTGTATTTGCTCTGCCTAGCAACTCATATGGAAAATTCCTTTGGTGCTCATCCAGTAGGTCATCCAGGATCTCAAGGCATCTGCCGGGTCTCAAGCTTTTCAGATCTCCTCAGGTACCCTACCTGCGGCAATTCTGGGATGGCCCAGATGTCCGAAGCTCAACGGCACGGCACACGGCTGTCGTATTGGGGTCCCGTCCAATTGGGGTCCTGAGGTCATCCGCCACGCCTTGGTTCCCCCGCAGAGGTTGACGCACCAAAAGGGGAGTGAGGCCCCGAGCCCCGATTTCAACGAGACGCTGCTCGTGTTTTTTGTCAGGACACGGGTGATTCCAATTGAAATGATTTGGATTGGCGATGATTTGTTGGCTGGTTTCATAACTGAACATGCCCGAGTTTGCTTCATGTGAAAGGGTTGATGATTCAAGCAGTAGTACTTAAACAGGTGGAATCAGATACAGCAGACTTCCACTCATTGCGACCTTGGCCAGAAATGGACGGCGGATTCTCCGAGCGCCTGCAACAAGGATGAGCCCATGGACAGAGAATGTGCGCCTTGACTTTAGGACAATCTTTTTCCAATGACCTATTCATCCTAATACTCTGCACAAAATTTAGGAGTGTTTCCTGCAGGAGCGGAGAAACCAGCTGCGGGCCCTCCCGATTTGTGGTGACGTCCAAGAATTGAAGGTCTAAACAGCAGTGAAATGGTTGGTGACACAAATGAAGAAAAGCAGTTACAAATCCTTCACCCGGAAATAGAAACCATTCACACAATCTGTATGCCAAGTGAAGTGTGTTAGGTTGTGGCAAATCACAATCGAACATACCACACCCCTCTCCATACCCCTCCTCAGAACAATGATTTATATATGTTATGATATGTTTTGACATCTCTCACTTTTGATATCTCTCACTTTTGATATCTCCCACTTTTCTTTTAAGACGCCAGGAGAAACATGGTTTGAGATGGGATACATAGAAACAAGATGTTTATGGGTTTCACCATATTTCACCACTATTTACCTATGGATGACATGTTGATGTTGAAACCAAGGCCAAGGGCTGCAGCAGCATCAAGCCTCACTACAACTACCGCATCTTCACGGGCATCATGCAACATCAGGTGCTTCGGGAATTGGGGTGCTTCCGGCGCTTGGGGCGCTTGGGTGGTGGTTCTTTGTTTAAGCCGTGGAAACCAGTTTCAACATGTTTCAACCAGAGGTGATTTCGTTGGTCTAGAGTCTAGAGGATCAAATCAGTTGAGTTTTCCGAAATGTCTATCATGAATTTCCAATTGTTCCCTCAAGATTCTCATGTTTTGGATTTTCATGGATTTTCTATCATGTTGTTTCGGTTCAAGATCCACCTGGCCACCACTCATGATGCCAGCGTCGCCGTGAGGCCTCGGCCTACATCACGGCCGTGGACTCTGCGTTCAGCTCCCTGGAGGAGCACGGTGCGCCCAGCATGGACATGGCGTGACGGAGTGACGGAGTGACGCATGGCGTGATGCGGAAAAGGGAAAACAGCTGCACAGCTTGGCCTGGAGGGATCAGAGAAAATCTCTGGAGTTTTATGGGAGAAGTGATATGTGATAGCCATGATTGATTTTGTGGTTTGGGTTCCACATGTGTTGCAAAGCCATTATTTCGCATGTGCCAAGGATATTGTGCTATATGATGTGTGGCTGTTGCAACTTAAATCCACCGAAGTACTTCATTCCCTTGGAATTTGGAACACCCCATCGCAGAATCTCATGAACACGGCAGGTAGATATGACTTCTCGACTTCAAAGAGATGAGGTTCGGCCAGCCAGCGGAGAGGTTTCAGAGCCATCAGAGATCCATTTGGATGTTGGGAAAATTGAGAGTTACCAAGAAATGCTCAATTTCAAAATCTCTGTACCTTCCACACCGTACCAGCTGAATTCTCTACAGTAGTTTTCAAGAAAGGCGTATAGATGGGTCACGACTTACGGAACCATCTGTTGAGGAGGAAGAACGTCCTTTCACCGGCTATTTGGGTGTTTAGGACAGTAGAAGGGTTTTAACTCATACCCGCAACATACCTGCAACATACCCCCAATCCTCCAGCCGCCCGTTGCCGTGCTGCAGGCGCATGCTGGGAGCCAGATGTCTGCTGCTGAGGCTGGCAGCTTCCAATGTGGCATTGATATGCTTAGCGAACTGGTTGATTGATGGAGGGTTCGATGGATAAGCAATTATAAAAAGTATCCGAGAGCGACCCCTCCAATTTTCCGGAAGGACATCCTTGGAATCCTTGGAATGTGCGGCCCAACAGGCCTGGAGACAATGGCGCGGCTCCCTGGATGTTCGACCCAGTGTGTGATGAGTCGCAAAGATTCATTATTGCGGTTGAAATTTACTGTATTTGGATACGTCAGGTGCGATAGGTACGTCCCAATGAGCAGACTCCCATAGACTACTCAGTGACTTTTCCCTGAGCAATACCCAGTTCGATGATCTCAATTCAAAGCTGGAAATTCCACCATGAATGCTATTTCAAATCAACTGTAATTACACTTTGTTTGTGCGACCTTACAAAAATGCATGGAAATTCCCCTCTCGACCGAACTGGTAACTGGCATGATTTGTTGATACGTACAGACATAGGAAGGTGTTGCCATCAGCTTGGTTCATTCCCCCCAAAGCAGTTTGTTGCTTCAGGTGGCCACTGGCCGAAGCCCAGATCTCAGGCTGAAATGACTTGCCCAGTTTGGTTGCCGGTTGAGAAGTTGGCAATGATGATAGCTACGCGATTCTCGCTGTCCTAGATAAACATGCCTACTTTGAGGTGAGGCAATGCAATGCTTTCATGTTTAGGTGTGGCTCAAGAGACACAAGAGACACATGGGCTGTTGATGTCTCAGATTGAGGTAGTATATTAACCTCGCCATGCCAGCTGATGAAGCCTCATCCATTACCTCTCTTCCTCCTGCGTGTTTCAATTGGTGGTGTAGGCAACATGCAGAGTATACTTTCGAATGCTCCAGAACAGGGTGCTCTGGCCCTCCTATCCCTCCCAATGTGGAAGTGTCACCCAACAAACGCATTGCTTTGTGTGGCCCTTGCGCTTGTAGAGGCGAGTGCCCCTTCTGTTCGGCTAGAGTCCAAATAGAGGACTTGCATTCGATCACGGTCAGTGTGACCGGCTCAGATGGAAGCTTCTCTTTACTGGATGTCCCAGCAGCCTTGGAAAACTCTGTTCAGCCCAATCACCAGACATTGGAACAGTTCAACCAGCAATTTCAGCAGCTGGCGAACAAAGTGCAGACGACAATGAGGAAGACCCCCAAGGACTTTGATATCAGTCGCTGTGACCGTCCAGAAATTGTTAAGCTCGTAGAAGAAGCTCAGGATCTTCTCAATTGCCTCAAAAATGCGGGGTTGCGGCCAGATCGTGACACATATCGATGGCTGATATCCCTTTTTGCCAGGGCAGAACATCAAGACAAGGTCGAACAGTGGGCCCATAGGATGGAATTGTCTGGCAATTATAGCACGGGCGGTTACAATGCTGCGATATTTGGTAACGCAGTGCCCGGCGGTGTGCATCGTGCCGACATGTGGTTCAATTGCATGCAACAGAACGATTGCGTGCCAGATGCAAAAAGTTACAATATTCTGATTCAGGCCTGTGCTAGATCGAAAGACTCCACTCATGCAAATCTCTACTTTGAGCGCATGCAGCTTGCACATTTTACGCCAGACGTTTTCACATTTAGCCATTTGATTAGGGCCTGTGCGGATAGCCTACAGAAGGCGGAAGGATTCTGGAAGGACATGCAGCAAGCTGATATTAAGCCTATCGATTTCACATGCAAGGCAATGTTGAAAGCATGCGCTAATGCTGGCAACATAGACAAAGCATTGCATTTTTTTGAAGAAGGTATCAAGGCTGGATGTGTTCCAGATGTGCTCACCTTCACAACCATGATCTCAGTGTTCAAAAAAGAAGGGAATGTTGCAGGGGCTGAGGAGTGGTTTAGCAAGATGGAAGCAGCTGGGGTAGAGCCTGACGTGGCAGCTTTTACTTGTGTGATTCGAGTGTGTGGCACGGCTGGCGATGAGCTGAACGCTGGCAAATGGTTGGCAAAGCTGAAGGCAGCTGGATGCCAACCCAATCAGCTCACCTATCATGCTCTCATCATTTGCGCGTTGACTCAGAAGGATTTTGCCAAGGCAGATATGTGGTTGAAACACATGTTGGATTTAGGGTTGACGCCATTGCTCAAGACTTTCCACAAACTGCTTGAGGCTTGTGAGCCTGCCGGCGACTTACCCCAAGCAGAGAAGTTCTTCAACGCAATGAAGAAAGCTGCAGTGCCACCAGATGTGAATGCTTTTAACAGCATGTTGAAGACCAGTGCACAATTTGATTCATCCCAAGGGCGGCAAATGAGCGGCCAGCCAAGTGAAGAACAAAAGAAATGGTTTTTGAAGATGTCACCTTCAGGTGTGCCGCCCAATGCGGCCACGTATGACATCCTGACCCGTGCGCAGCCCAATGCGGCCACGCATGACATTCTGACCCGGTCTGCCTTTTTGGCCCAGCTGTGATCGTGATGAGCTGCCTTGCAGTCGGGTCTCTATCGTTTTGGCTGCGCAGAAAAGCAGCATATTAAGCATCAGGGCACTGCCACCATTGTATTCAGACGGCACAGTCCAGCGAAGAGATGGGGCTACGGAATGAGATTGCATGTTCCAAAATTTGCTGCAAGATGTTGCCAAGGATAGGTAGCTATTGCCCATGTTTCTATGAGAAGCAGAAGCACTGCGGTTTCATTTGTTCAAACCCATACGAATCTCCACCAACCCTTTGGAGGTCGCCCCTCTCAGGATTCGGTGTTGGTGACTCTCTTTGGCGCCGGAGAAGAGGAGCTGAAAGCCCTGGGGGCATCCCATGTCACTCGGCTCGGGCGGTTTGGTTTCCACCTGGCCTGGCAGGATATTGACAAAACAATACAAAACAGGTTTGGGGAGAATAGCCTATAACGATGGGCCTGTATGCTGGAAGTACATGAGAGTTGGATATGCAAGAGTTTGTTCCTTGAACGACCTCGTGTTCCGCATTCGATGATGTTGTGCTGACCACTGTTCATCTACCCCCATCCATATCAGCCATATCATCCAATGGAAGGGGCTGAAACTTATTCCGCCCAAGTTGGATGTACCCCAAGCAATCGCCAAATGGCCGAATCATTCCATCGATGATTCGCCATAGATGTGATGGATGTGTCTTGGTGGAAGGTCTCCAAGCATGTCAGCGCTGCCATGTCCAAGTGTGCTGAGCAGGTGCCCAAAATCCCCCCAAAATGGTCGGTTTTGTTGGTGACTCTCGGTAAAAAGGCGTTAACTCTGGGATATTCAGGGCCAAATGCAAGTGATTCAAACCTGGCCATCTCAAACCATCTCAAACCATCTCAAACCAAGTTCCATTCAAGCTCAATGCCAGGACGCAGTTTAAACATGTTCTTTTGAAGTCATTTGCAGATGCAACTATCTAGCCGCGGTTTCATGCTCGTGTTTCTTGACCTCCAGGTTAATCTCCAAGATGAGAGCTCACTATGGTTCGCTTCTACTGTTCGTCATCGCAATCGCAAGCAATTTCCACATGAGATTCATGAGTAAAACCACTGGCTGGACTCGATGAAAGTCAGGTGAGACATGGTGAGACATGGTGAGATCAGGGATCCCAACTGCCGTGACAGGTCTTTGCTTCTGGCTATCGGCAGCTCCTGGCTTGTCAAGGTGGGGTTTTCACCACCGATCTCCACAGCCAGGCATTGACATCTTCCCATCATTCAACCTGTGGATATCTGTGGATGCTAGCGGATTTGAAACGATTCCATCTGAGATTGTTTTTTGGGAAGATTTTGTGGAACTATGACCTACTTTGAGTCCGAACGAAACAACTTGACAGTGGCACGTGCTGGTCACAATTTAAGGCACCCATAGACACCACATGGATTTATGTCAAGATTCTTGCCTTATCCCATGGCATCTTCGTAGGAGGCGCTTGCAGTCCTGTTTCGATGGTAGCAGAGGAGCTTGAGCGGAGTGTCTGGGAACCCAGCTGGGTGCTGTCCAGCGACAAGTCAAACCACGAGTCAATAAGCATAAAAACTCCCCATGTCTCCGGGACATATGTGTAGGTTTGGGATGATTTGGGGGACTTGTTGACCCCAAAATATATGAGCCCTTGAACCCGGAGGAAACAAACATGACTTTCCTTTTGACACTGTTGGTTTGATCTAGTTATTGCGGGCCTGATGCGGAGAACAGCTGCACTGACACATGATTTCCATTCCATTCAATTGATATGTATGCAAAGCAGTCCATGTGACTTATTGGTTTGTATCTAGTCCTGGAATGTCCTGGACATATGTTTCAGTGTGACTGACTATTATTTCAGCTATTTCGTCAGTTTTCTTTCGTTTTTCCTGTCGACTCATTGGAAGCAGAACCTTTCCAGTTTCCCTTCAGCTAGCTGCATCCCAGGGAGATTTGCTGCAGCGCACCGCACAGCTGTTTCTACAGCGCTGCTCCAAAGATGCTCAGGCACTATGGGTCGGGCAAGTTGTGAATGCATTTGCGGGAGATATCAGGAGATACTTATCGAACCAGACACCGAGACACTTTTCTTCTGACTTTTTTCTGAACCAATATGTACAGTAAACAGCCAGGCGCTACGGAAACTGTTAGTTTAGACCTCTTTTCCTGGCTGCACTGTCCCCGAAATGAAGATTTTCAATCTGTCTTGTGTTGGGCTGATGATGGCTTATGTTTTCGGAAGCAGTTGATCTTTGGCACAATGGTTCTTAGCCATCGTTAACATTCATTAACTCATATCCTCGGTTTTCTCAGTGATCCATTTTTGTTGGTACACCATGCTGCTAAACCCTACCCCCCACGACTTCGTGGCAAACCATCCCAGAATTGGATATCTACCGGAAATCTCCCATGTTTCATCATTTTTCCATGGTAAAAACTCCGGGGGTTCCCCATTTTTTTTCCAACAAAAACAGCTCTTCCAGGTGGACGTGCACGGCTTGGGCGCGGTGGAGCAGCTGTTGCTGCAGCACTTGGAGGAGACCCAGCAGATGCTACGGCAGAGCCTGAAGCAGCTGAGGCCGGTTGGAAAGCGATGGAAAGGGTAGAAACCACCATGGTATAACCGTGGTATAACCATGGTATATACAACTCCAAAAAAGATAGAAATGTAATCTTCCACGATGTTCGAAAGATGTTATGTACTTGTCGATCTGTCTGGTTGCTATAACTCTAAATTGGAGGAGTGAACATTTAATGGTGGCACATAACCAAAATTGACGGGTTGACTGGTGGGTGCAAATATGTTTAGGCACCATGTGCGCAAGACGTTGTTGTGAGACATTGTTGTAGACCAATCTTGTACCACCAAATGTCCGGACATGTTTGAACAGAGATTGTGGGAAACATGTTTGAGGGAAACCTATTTCTTGGACACTAGGTGCAGAACGTGTTATTTTCATGTCAGTAAGGCTGCTAGTCAGCAGTAGAATATTGAGACTTGTCAGGTCACAGCCAAAAGGCCAGGTGTCAGCCCTAGTTTTTCCTGGAATGTATGGTTTAACAACTATTTCATACCATGTTTATCTGACTAGGTATTCGCATGTTTTTTAGCAGCCACACCGTTGCCGGAGGCGTCAAGCTGGGATCCCCAGATGCCAATCTCTAAACCGATGTGAATCGTGTGGAGTATGAGACATGTTGGTTTCCAGGGGCTTAAGTGGTTGTAGCGACCACTAGATGTAGCTAAACGGCTAAACACGGGTGCTAGATTTTAGAAAGATGTTTGCATGGGGCCTATGGCCTAGCGTGGAAGGAAAGCAGCGCGTTCCCATTTTGCCAGGATGTCCTATGGTGTACAGATGTGTACAGACAAATCGGTGTCAATTTTGTTCAAGAACTTCCGACATGAAAAATCTTTCTAGAGGTGGGTACCCTTTGGTAATTTAACATAGCTATTGAAAATGACCATTTATAGTGGATTTACCATAGCTATGTTAGTTTACCAGAGGGTAATCTGTGCAAATGCAGAACTTTCAAATCGGTCTTTGTTCTGCGCGAATCCCAGGAACCCAAGAGTTGCGTCTTTCACATCACCATCGCACTGGTTGGGAGTCTGAGTCGTCTCATGGGGGACGTTTGGTCATTTATCCAGCCAAACTTTTGGCAGTTTCGCCTATGATCATTGTGAAAAGCCACGAAGCAAGAGGATGGAGGCAATTGGCAATATATTTTAGATGTTCTCAACATGAAGCGTTCCGCAATTTCCCAGACATTGATCTGGGTTCAGTACAGAAACTGGATATGATATGTTTGGAAGTGCAGGAGCAGTGCTTGAAAACATCCTCTGAGAATCGCCAGTTTCTTCGAACTGGGAAAGCTGAGGCCAAAGCATTGCGAGACAAGGAAGAGGTAATGCGGTGGCATTTGAGTGCCTTGGTCGGCAAGGTGATTGACTGATTGACTGATTGACCATGTGGTGTATCTCTGGTTTCACCAGTTTCACCTGGAGTTCATCATACATCCACAGGGATCAACCAGCAATTTCTATTGGCATTTCAAGCCATTCCCACACCAAACCTGGCAGATGCTGGCAGCTCTGAGGTCATGCCTTGTTGGGTCTCCTGTGGTGGCAACTGCAGCACCAGCGCGGAGAACTGCAGGCGCCATGCCTTTTGGGGGGTAGTCCTGTTGGGAAGTTGCTACCTGGGACTTGGGACATGACAAAGGCACCACAATTGACAAACCCGTTGCGGTTGGAAACAGTTGGAAACAACCCTAGCTCTGAAGATATTAAAGACGTTATCAATCATTACAGCTGTTATAAATGTTATAAGTTTGTGAGAACCCCCAAATGGTCTCCTTTGATGAGCCCTCAGATACCAGAAATACTGTGGACTGTGGACATACTTGGAATGTGCTTTCTGACCGATTTCTTGAGCTCCAGATCATTCCAGATCCTCAGGCGCCAGAGGAGTTCCACTTTGACTTGCCAACCATGGAGTTCTCAGCTGTGTGCTGTGGGGCAAACCCATTGGGAGGGCAGGTTGGGGAGAGGAGTCAAACGTGCTGCCAGTAGGTGTTGTGCGAAATGGATGGAAATGGCGGATTACTGCATATGAGATATGAATGTGCAACAACGATGAACGATGTGTTGGGGCCATGCTCCATGTCTATGGCATAAATATGAAAGAGCGCGCTTCTGCTCTGTGGTCGCCGTGGTTGCTGATGAAAGGCGACCTGGTTCTCATTACATCTGAAATATACCGCTATGAATTAGTTGCATTTCTCGCTGGTCCAATTTTTCGGGTTGAACCATTTCACCATTCGTTTGTGCCATCCTCTACCAAGGTCGACGTTGGGATGTTTTTCTTGAAGCCATCTCTGCCAAAGGAGCGGAGAGCGATGCACCAATAACCGTCAAATAACCATTGATCTAATTCTGTTCTTCGTTTTCTTGTCTTGAAGCCAGGTTCAACAACCTTTCTGTTTCTGACTTCAATGATTTCTCCGAGTTTCTGTTTAAACCAGCTGGGCCTCAGACGCAGTGGTGGCAGCTTTCAACCCAGATGAGAGGCTCCAGGTGCCAGTCCGGTCCTGATTTGTGTCTGTAAACATCTAAATATACACAGGAAATCCCAGTAATATTATATTGAAAT